TTTGGAGTGGTTGGTGCAATTATTTAATAAATGTATGGAAGAGGGAAAGGTCCCTGGGGATTGGCAGAGAGCATCATAGTTTCTTTGTAAAAAAGGCAAAGGGGATGAAAGACAGTGCAAAAATTATGGGGGGATAAGCCCTGTTGATATACCTGGTAAAGTGTATGGTAGAGTTAAAATTGAAAGAATTAAGAGTAAGACGGAGAATAGGATAGCAGATGAACAAGGGGGCTTTAGGAAAGGTAGGGGGTGGGGTGGACCAGGTTGTTTACAGTGAAACATGTAAGTGAACAGTATTTGGAAAAGGCTAAAGAGGTCTTTGTGGGCATTATGGATTTGGAAAAGGCGCATGACAGGGTGGATAGGGGAGCAATGTGCAGATGTTGCAAGTGTATGGTGTAGGAGGTAGTTACTGAAAGCAGTGAAGAGTTTTTACGAGGATAGTGAGGCTCAAGTTAGAGTACGTAGGAAAGAGGGAAATTTTTTCCCATAAAAGTAGGCCTTAGACAAGGATGTGTGATGTCACCGTGGTTGTTTTAATATATTTAGGATGGGGTTGTAAGAGAAGTAAATGCGAGGGTCTTGGCAAGGCGTGGAGTTAAAAGATAAAGAATCACACACAAAGTGGGAGTTGTCACAGCTGCTCTTTGCTGATGACACTGTGCTTTTGGAGATTCTGAAGAGAAGTTGCAGAGATATGGTGGATGAATTTGGTAAGGGGTGTGAAAAGAAGAAAATTAAAAGTGAATACAGGAAAGAGTAAGGTTATGAGGATAACAAAAAGATTAGGTGATGAAAGATTGGATATCAGATTGGAGGGAGAGAGTATGGAGGAGGTGAACGTATTCAGATATTTGGGAGTGGACGTGTCAGCGGATGGGTCTATGAAAGATGAGGTGAATCATAGAATTGATGAGGGAAAAAGAGTGAGTGGTGCACTTAGGAGTCTGTAGAGACAAAGAACTTTGTCCTTGGAGGCAAAGAGGGGAATGTATGAGAGTATAGTTTTACCAACGCTCTTATATGGATGTGAAGCATGGGTGATGAATGTTGCAGTGAGGAGAAGGCTGGAGGCAGTGGAGATGTCATGTCTGAGGGCAATGTGTGGTGTGAATATAATGCAGAGAATTCATAGTTTGGAAGTTAGGAGGAGGTGCGGGATTACCAAAACTGTTGTCCAGAGGGCTGAGGAAGGGTTGTTGAGGTGGTTCGGACATGTAGAGAGAATGGAGCGAAACAGAATGACTTCAAGAGTGTATCAGTCTGTAGTGGAAGGAAGGCGGGGTAGGGGTCGGCCTAGGAAAGGTTGGAGAGAGGGGGTAAAGGAGGTTTTGTGTGCGAGGGGCTTGGACTTCCAGCAGGCATGCGTGAGCGTGTTTGATAGGAGTGAATGGAGACAAATGGTTTTTAATACTTGACGTGCTGTTGGAGTGTGAGCAAAGTAACATTTATGAAGGGATTCAGGGAAACCGGCAGGCCGGACTTGAGTCCTGGAGATGGGAAGTACAGTGCCTGCACTCTGAAGGAGGGGTGTTAATGTTGCAGTTTAAAAACTGTAGTGTAAAGCACCCTTCTGGCAAGACAGTGATGGAGTGAATGATGGTGAAAGTTTTTCTTTTTCGGGCCACCCTGCCTTGCTGGGAATCGGCCAGTGTGATAATAAAAAAAAATAACATATATATATATATATATATATATATATATTATATATATATATATATATATATATATATATATATCGTGCTAAATAGGTAAAATTGGTCAATTAGCAAACATTCATTTAAAATTAAGTCCTTTCTAAGATTTTCTCTAATACATTTGAAGATATATTTTTTTCATTTATGTTAATGTAAAAATTAATTATTTTGTATAAAAAGAACCTTAGAAAGCTTACCTAACCTTATTATAACAAGCGCAATTTATTTTAGCCTCATCCAACTAAATATATTTTAGATAAGTTTAAAATAATTTAATAATAAACAAACACAATGAAATATATTTTTCCTTAGGTTCAGAATGATTTTTGCGAAATTATTATATACACAAATTTTCGCTTGCCTTATATTGGCAAGACAAACTGCTATTTAAAAAATCAAATTTTAAATTAATATATATATAATATATATATATATATAAAAATATATATATATATATATATATATATATATAATATATTAAGTTTTTTTTTGAGATGCTAGTGCAAACTTTAAGTAAATTTAATTCAGCTATTCAACTGAATCCCTCAACTCCCTCTCTTAATCACCTTTTTCAGCTGCTTCTCTTAGGTTCCTCTCTCGGCCTCCACACTCATCCCACTCTTTGATGACCTTCCCCACCTCCCAACCACTAAAACAACATTAACAACATTCACACCACCACCAATAAACTATTATTACCCACAATATTCTCGTTACCAGTGCACCTTCAACAACACTATTACCACCACCACCCACAGCACAGCCTCACCACCCACAACACCAACCCTCACCATCCACAACACCACCTCACTACCCACAGCACCAGCTTCACCCCCCCCAACACCGCCCACAACAACACCAGCCTCACAACCACCCACCCCCACCACCCACACCCATCACCCACAAAACCATCCTCACCACCCACAACACCAGCCTCACTACCCACAGCACCAGCCTCAAACCCCCCCAACAAACCCGCCTCACCACCCACAACACCAGCCTCCACCACCCACAACCCCCATCCTCACCATCCACAACACCAGCCTCACTACCCACAGCACCAGCCTCAAACCCCCCACAACACCACCTGACCACCCACAACACCACCAGACCACCCACAACAACCAACCTCACCATCAACCACACCAACCTCAACTACCCACAGCATCAGCCCACCACCCACAACACCAGCCTCACACCCATAACACAAGTCGCCTCACCCCCCAGCAAACCACCAGCCCTCACCACCCACAACACCGCCTGCACCACCCACAACACCAGCCTCACCACTCACAACACCAGCCTCACCACCAAACACCAGCCTCAACTACGCCACAGCAAACCAGCCTCACCACTAACAACACCGCCTCACTTACCCACAGCACCAGCCTCACCACTAACAACACCAGCCTCACTAACCACAGCACCAGCCTCACCACTAACAACACCAGCCTCACTACCCACAACACCAGCCTCACTACCCACAACACCACCACCACACGTTCAACACCCTTCCCTCCATCCCTTCTCGAAACTCTCCCTCTGCACTCATCTTCACCATCCCAGTGGCTTCAGCTCTTGTTTCCATTTCTCGTCACTCTTCCAGCAGGCAGCGAGTACTCGCCCCCCTCCCTCTTCACTATCATCATGTTCGTCTGCGGGGTGGGAGCCATCGTCATTATCGTCATTATCGTCATCACCGTCTTCAGACTGAGGCTACGGAAGTCCAGGCACAAGTGTGTGAGGCTGACGGCGTCAGCAGCTGCCTCCGAGATCCCCAAGGACCTCCTCTCTGAGAGTCAGGTGAGGCTGAGTAACGTCAACATGATCGATTCAACACATGAACAACACTTGGGTATCTTTATGGCTGATACGTTTCGCCTGCAGGCTTATTCAGTCGAATTCATCAACTTTTCGCTACTGTATATAATTATTATGATGATAAACAAATGATATCATCTAAGTGCATTAACTAACTGTGCATAACTATCCTTTTGGATCTATCTAGAGCACACCATCCCGGCATAGAGCCCGTCACAAATAAACAAATAAGCTTGGAAACTATAGAAAGTGTACAGATTCTACTCTACGAGGGATACATGAAGACAGATGATAGAAGAGAGAGAGAGAGAGAGAGAGAGAGAGAGAGAGAGAGAGAGAGAGAGAGAGAGAGAGGAGGACGTTAGGGACAAATCAGTCTTCAGAAGCTGCTCAAAGAAATCCACATTTAAGACCAGGTGTGTGGGAGAGCGAGACCGAAAGAGGAATGAAAGACAAGAAAGAAAATCAAGACTCTAGCGAGACAGGGGATAGACACAGGAGGCTGAGAGAGAAAAGGGAGAGAGGGAGAGAAACAAGACATCGTGGTCGGATACAGTAAGAGAAACAGAATTCGCAAACCAAGAGACGGCGATAATAATGCGAGGGTGTGGAGGGGTATAAATCAACTACCCAAGACAGTAAACCAAATAATAATGTATATAAGAGTTTCAAACATCAGTTCGAACACTTGTAACAAATCACGCAAGATCTTTTGAGCCAGCTCACAATAACCAGACTCACAATAACCAAACTCATCACAATAACTAACTCAAAATTAACCAAGCCCTCAATAACCAAACTCACAATAATCAAACTCACAATACCCAAAATCACAATAACCAAACTCACAATTACGAAGCTCAACAATAGCAAGCTCTCAATACCAAATCACTGAATAATCAAACTTACAATAACCAAACCACAATAAACCAAACTCACAACAACAAAACTCTAACCAAACTGCACAATAACCAAACTCACAATAATCAGTTCACAATAATCAAACTCCCAAATAAACAAGTTCCACATAAATCAAACTCACAACATAACCAAACTCACAATAATCAAACTAACCACAACAACCAACTCACAATAACCAAACTTAAAATAACCAAACTCATAATAATCAAACTCACAATAATCAAACTTCACAATAACCACCACACAATAACCAATTCACAATAATCAAACATCACAATATTCAAACACACAAATAATCGACTCACAATACAACTCGCAATACTCAAACACACAACTACCAATACACACAGTAGCAAAACTCACAATAACCAAACTCACAGTAACCAAAATCTCATAACCAAACTTACAATAACCAAACTCATAATAATCAAAATCTCAAAACCAAACTCACAATAACCAAACTCACAATAACAAAATTTACAATAGCCAAACTCACAATAACCAAACTCAAAATAACCAAAATCTCATAACAAAAGCTCACAATAACCAAACTCACAACAACCAAACTCTCATAACCAAACTCACAATAACCAAACTCACAATAATCAGTTCACAATACTCAAACTCACAATAATCAAGTTTCAACAATAATTCAAACTCAAATAAGCAAACTCACAATAATCAAACTCACAACTCCAAACTCAAAATAACCAAACTCAAATAACCAACCTCACAATAACCAAACTCATAATAAACAAACTACAATAATCTAACTCACAATAATCAACTCACAATATCAAAACACAACAACATTCCAAACCACAGAACACAACGCAACAAAACCAAACTCACAGTAACCAAAATCTCATAACCAAACTCACAATAACCAAACGTCCTAATATCCAAAATCTCATAAACCAATCTCACAGAACTAAACTCACAATAACCAAACACAAAATAGTCAATACCAAGCCTCACTATAAGACCAAACTCAAAAACCAAAATCTCATAACAAAAACTCACAATAACAAACTCACAATAACCAAACTCACAATAACCAAATCTTCATAACAAACTCAACGACAACCAACTCACAATAACCAAATTCCACAATAACCAAAATCTCATAACTAAACGCACAATAACAAAACTCACAATAACCAAACTCACAATAACCATACCACATTACCCAAAAATTTTATACCAAACTCTCAGAACAAAACTCACAATAAACCAACACCTCACAATAACCAAGATCTCGTAATCACTCACAATAACCAAACCACAATGACTAAACTCACAATAACAAAAATTCACAATAACAAACTCACAATAAACCAAATCTCATAACTAAACTCACAATAAGGCAAACTCCACAATAACCAACTCATCAAAAACCAAACTCACAATACCCAAACTCACAATAACCCAAGCTTACAATAACCCAAGCCACAATAACCAAAAACCTCATAAGGAATCTCACAATAATCAAACTCAACAATACACTAATCACAATAGCCAAAACTCACATATCAAACGCACCATAGCAAAACTCAAGATAACCAAACTCACAACAATATTCAAACAACTCCATAACCTAAACTCACAATAACCAAAATCTCATAACCAAACTCACAATGCGAAACTCACAATAACAGATTTTACAATAACAAAATCACAATAACAGAACTCACAATTACGAAACTTACAATAACCAAACTCACAATAAGCAAAATCTCCTAAAAAACTCACAATAACCAAACTCACAATAAACAAACTCACGATAAACAAACTCACGATAATCAAGGTCACAATAATTAAACTCATCCACGCTAAGCAAACTCACAATAATCAAAACTCAACTATTCATTCAAACTCACAACAGCAAACTCCAAAATAACCAAACTCACAATAATCACACTGACAATAAATACAAACACCAATAATCAAACACACAACAACCAAACTCCACAGTAACAAAACTCACATTAACCAAACCACAATAACCAAAATCTCATAAGCCAAACATCAAAATAAACAAACTCTCATAACCAAACTCATAATGGCCAAACTCACAATAACCAAACTCACAATAGCCAAAATCTCATAAAACCAAACACACAATAACAAATCTCATAATAACCAACTCACATAACCAAACTCACAATAACCCATATATTCATATACAAACAAAACTCATAATAACCAAACCCACAATAACCAACATCACATAACCAAATTCACAATAACCAAGATCTCATAACCAAAACTCACAATAACTAAACTCACCAATAACCTAATTCGCAATAACCAAACTCACAATAACCAAAATTGTCATAACCAAACTCACAATAAACAAACTCACAATAAAGGAAACTCACAATAAAACCTAAGTCCTCATAACCAAACTCAACAAAAACTAAACTCACAAAAACAAAACTCAACATAACGAAAGTCACAATGACCTAAATTCTCAAATAAAAACACACAATAACCAAAGTTCCACAATTACCAAAATCTCATAACCAAACACTCACAATAACCAAACTCACAATAACCAAAAAATTCACAATAACCAAACTCACAATAAACAAACTCACAATACCAAACTCACATAGCCAACTCACAATAACACATAATCTCATTAAAAAAAAAAAACTCAAAATAACCAAACTCACAACAACGAAAACTCAACATAACCAAACTCACAATAATAACGACTCACAGTAATCAAACTCAGAATAATCAACCACATAATCAAACTCAAATAAGCAATCACAATAAACAAACTCACAACAACCAAACTATACAATAACCAAACTCATAATAATCAAACTCACAATAATCAAACTCACAATATTCAAACTCACAAAAATCAAATTCCCAATAACCACCCCTCACAATAACCAAACCACACAATAACCAGATTCACAATAATCAAACTCACAATAATTCAACCCACAATAATCGAACTCAACAATAATCAAATTCACAATAATCAAACACACTCCACCAAACTCACAGCAACTCAAACTCACAATAACAAAACTCATAATAACCAAAATCGCATAATCCCAAACTCAAAATAACCAAAACTTCACAATAACAAAACCGCACAATAGCCAAACTCACAATAAACAAACTCAAAATAACCAAAATTTCATAACAACAACTCACAAACAATACTCACAATAATCCAATCTCACACTAACCCATAAACGCGTAACCAAACTCACAATAACCCAACCACAATAACCACTTCACAATAACCAAAATCTCATAACCAAAACTCACAATAACCAAACTTCACAATAACCAAAATCTCATACCCAAATTCACGATAACTAAAGTCTCATAACAAAACTAACAATAACCAACACACAATAACCAAGATCTCATAATCAGACCCACTAACAAACTCACAATGGCTAAACCTCACAACACCAACTTCACAAAACCAAACTCACAATAAACAATATCTCATGTCTAAACTCACAAAAACCAAACACACAATACCCAAACTCACCAATAAAACAAGCTTACGAATAACCAAGCCATAAACCAAAATCTCATAAAAAACTCACAGATAACCAAGCCTCACAAGTAAACAAACTTACATTAACTCAACACACAATAATCAATATCTCATGTCTAAACTCAAACAAAAACCAAACTCCAATAACCAAACTCACAATAACCAAGCTTACAATAACCCAAGCCATAATAAACCAAAATCTCATAAAAAAACTCACAACAACCAATTCAAAATAACCAAGACTCAAAATAAAACCAAACTCACAATATCAAACACATATAATCAAACTCACAATAACAAACCACAATAATTAAACTCACAAAAATCAAATTTCACAATACCACACCCCACACAATAACCAAACACACAATAATCAGATTCACAATAATCAAACTCACAATATCGAACCCACAATAATCGAACTCACCATAATCAAACTCACAATAACCAAATCTCACCAATCAAACTATGTGCACAATAACAAACGCACAAATAAGCAAATCTTCACACAACCACCAAACTCACAATAACTAAACTCACAATAACCAAATGCACAATAACCAAACTCACAATAACCCAATCTCATAATCAAAATCACAACACATCGAGCAAACTCACAATAAGCAAACTCACAATAAGCAAACTCACAAGTAAGCAAACTCACCAATAACGAAAATCTCATAACCAAACTCACAATAACTAAACTCACCAAAAACCAAACTCACAATAACCAAATACAATAACAAGCTTTCAATAACCAAAGTCACAATAACCAAAATATCCATAAAAAAGCTCACATAACCAAACTGACACAATAAACCAAACTCACATAACCAAGCTCACAATAGCCAAACTCACAATAACCAAACTCACAATAATCAAACTCACAATAACAAAACTCACAATAACCAAACTCACAATAACCAAAATCTCACTACCAAACTCACAATAACCAAACTCACAATAACAAAAATCTCATAACCATACTCACTATAACCAAACTCACAATAACAAATTCCAATAACCAAACTCACAGTAATCAAACTCACAATAACCAAACTCACAAGCCAAACACACGCAATTAAACAAAAATCTCAATAAAAACCTCATCAATACCAAACTCAGAATAAACAAACCAAGCATCAATAACCCAACTCACAATAATCAAGCTCACAATAAATCAAACTCAGAATACTCAGGCTCACAATAATCAAACTCACAATAATCCAAGACTCACTAGCAAACCAAACTCACAATACCAACCTCACAATAACCAAAATCTCTTAACCTAAACTGACAATATACCAAACTCCACAATAATCAAAATCTCATAACCAAACTCACAATAACCAAACTCACAGTAGCCAAACTCACAATAACTAAACTCACAATAACCTCACTCACAACTAACCAAACTCTCAATATCCAAAATCTACAAACCAAATTCACAATAACCAAACTCAGCAATAAGCAAACTCGCAATAACCAAACTCACGAATAACTAAACTCGAATAACCATACTCAAAACAACCAAACATCACAATACCAAAATTTCAAGAAAGCTCACCATAAACAAACTCACAAATAATCACACTCACAAAAAACAAAACTCACAATAACCAAACTCACAATAACCCAGCTCATAATAACCTATTCCAAATCATACTCGCAATAACAGCTCTAAATAACAAGTTACATAACCAAGCTCTCAATAACCAAGCTGACAATAACTCAAGCTCAACAATAACCAATCTCACAATTACCCAAGCTCACAATAACCCAAGCTCACAATAACCAGCTCTTCATAACCAAGCTGACAAAACCAAGCTGACATAACCAAGTCTTCACAATAACCAAGCTCCACAATACCAAGTTCACAATAACCAAGCTCACAATAACCAAGCTCACAATAACCAAGTTCACAATAACCAAGCTCACAATAACCAAGTTCACAATAACCAAGCTCACAATAACCAAGCTCACAATAACCAAGCTCACAATAACCAAGCTCACAATAACCAAGCTCACAATAACCAAGCTCTCAATAACCAAGATGACAATAACCAAGCTGACGATAACCAAGCTCACAATAACCAAGCTCACAATAACCAAGCTCACACAGTACTGCCTCGTAACAATAAACATAGAAAAATAAACACGAATACTATTTACGATGTGTGTTGTTGTCATTGACTCAATTATTCTTTTTGAATTAGCAATAGAGTTGCAATTATAATTATGAAAAGTGTGCGTGAGCTTCAGAATAGCATTAATTACTTTGGAAACGTTCAAAAACGATCCTTTCGTCTAGTCCTAATGGTTGGCAAATTAATATGAAGTTATAAAGGACAGAATAGGTAATTAAATTACGTTATTAGGGTTTATATAATTTTTGTTCTGCTATTTTTTATGATCATTAACTGTGTTGTGTGTGGTGTGTGTGTGTGTGTGGTGTGTGTGTGTGAGTGTGTGTGTAAAAAGCAAATGACTTTTTTCGAAGTACAAATTACTCCATCAGAGTTAAAATTGTTAGGTAAAGAACGTTGGCAAAACTCTGATAAGTATTCACCCTCGCGAACAGACCGAAAACAAATTTGGACACTCCAGATGTGGCCAGAGGGCCACCGAGTGCTATTCTTAGGCCGGAAGACACATGAAAGGTCTATTGGTCAGGCAGGACACGTGTGCAACTCAGGAGACTAGGCTTGACTATCAACCCACTGAACACTGTATGATATACAGTTACTTAAATACATCCTTATGAAGACAATAATAATATCAAATAATAACAACAACAAAATAATAATAATAATATAATAATAATAATAATACCTGAGATGTAGCTGAGTAAGTCCAGAATAAGGAGTTGTTAAAGATCCACCACACACTGGTCGTCCCAGGATAACCTTGGTCTGCCTGTATTTCTGCCTTTTTCTATAAATATTTAAACTGGATACCACAACTACAACTTTCACGAGTGCTTAATCCTTGCTGGCACTACCCCTAAGTCGGTTATTTATAGACTAGGTCAGTGCGTCGGCAGTCCAGTGAGTTGTGATGTATGGTAAAGGTCAGAACGCCAGCTAAATTCACTTGGTTTCCACCTTAGCGGACGGAAGGTCAAACCTCCAACACGTCTGGCGGTGAATGGCCCAAACGAGTCATTCACCGTGAGGGTCATTCTTCAGTAAACTAGTGTATCACAAAATATGCGCAGTTTACCTGTGAATTTCAATAATGTTAGCTAAAAGAACTCAGATGCAAATGATGTGACCTTTCATTGTGGCAACGTTTCGCTCTTCAGAAACTTTGTCAAACAATAGAATATACAGTCTAATGAAGATGTAACTAATTTTACTCGATAGATTTCGTGTTTACAAGGACAGGTGATCTAGCACAAGGGCAGGTGATCCAGCACTAGGACAGGTGATCCAACACTAAAACAGGTGATCCAGCACTAAAACGAGTGATCCAGCACTAGGACAGGTGATCCAGCACTAGAGCAGGTGATCCAGCACTAGGGCATGTGATCCAGCACTAGGACAGGTGATCCAACACTAAAACAGGTGATCCAGCACTAAAACGAGTGATCCAGCACTAGGACAGGTGATCCAGCACTAGAGCAGGTGATCCAGCACTAGGGCATGTGATCCAGCACTAGGACAGGTGATCCAACACTAAAACAGGTGATCCAGCACTAAAACGAGTGATCCAGCACTAGGACAGGTGATCCAGCACTAGAGCAGGTGATCCAGCACTAGGGCAGGTGATCCAGCACTAGGGCATGTGATCCAGCACTAGGACAGGTGATCCAACACTATAAACAGGTGATCCAGCACTAGAAAACGAGTGATCCAGCACTAGGACAGGTGATCCAGCACTAGAGCAGGTGATCCAGCACTAGGGCAGGTGATCCAGCACTAGGGCAGGTGATCCAACACTAGGACAGGTGATCCAACACTAGGACAGGTGATCCAGCACTAGGGCAGGTGATCCAGCACTAGGGCAGGTGATCCAGCACTAGGGCAGGTGATCCAGCACTAGGGCAGGTGATCCAGCACTAGGGCAGGTGATCCAACACTAGGACAGGTGATCCAGCACTAGAGCTGGTGATCCAGCACTAGGGCAGGTGATCCAGCACTAGGGCAGGTGATCCAGCACTAGGGCACGTGATCCAGCACTAGGACAGGTGATCCAGCACTAGGGCAGGTGATCCAGCACTAGGACAGGTGATCCAGCACTAGGGCAGGTGATCCACCACTAGGGCAGGTGATCCAGCACTAGGACAGGTAATCCAGCACTAGGGCAGGTGATCCAGCACTAGGACAGGTGATCCAGCACTAAGGCAGGTGATCCAGCACTAGGGCAGGTGATCCAGCACTAGGACATGTGATCCAGCACTAGGACAGGTAATCCAGCACTAGGGCAGGTGATCCAGCACTAGGGCAGGTGATCCAGCACTAGGGCAGGTGATCCAGCACTAGGACAGGTGATCCCGCACTAGGGCAGGTGATCCAGCACTAGGGCAGGTGATCCAGCACTAGGGCAGGTGATCCAGCACTAGGACAGGTGATCCAGCACTAGGACAGGTGATCCAGCACTAGGACAGGTGATCCAGCACTAGGACATGGTTATTAAAAGTGACCTTAAGTCAGTGATTAAATTCGGTACATGATCAGCCGGGTTGTGGTTCGTACGTTGGACCACTTGCGGCCAGCAGTAACAGCCTGGTTGATCGGGCCCTGATCTACCGAGAGGCCTGGTCAAGGACTGGGCTGCGAGGGCGTTGATCCCCGAAGTACCCTTCAGGTAGACACGTCCAAGGCCTTGTCGTTTTCTGATAAATATGCCCGAGTGCTTGCTCACCTTTCTTTTAACACCATTTATCCTAACTTCTGCTAATAATTTGTGGTCCCCGTTGTGAAATACATTGGTACTTGAAGCATACATTGTATGCACAGCGGTTGTATGATCTTTATGGATTTATCGCGTCTCCATAAATATAACAATAATTTGTCCCTTAATACGTGTGTGCCTGTGGATCGTGTATAGAGCTGGAAACAATGGCACGTTGTCGACAGTTAGTAAACAAGACACAGATGCAGTAAAGACATATATTTGTTTAATGAGCCACCCATCATTTGGCTTTATCAAGTACCAGTGTTGGGTGACTCATTATAATAAGGACTCCGCTGCATTCATGTCTTCACTTTGTTTACAAATAAGTCTGTTAAACACCTTTTATCTTAACCCACAGAAGCAGTCGCCTGATGGCAAGGAAGGCTCGGCCAGTGGCAACCACTTGTCCAAGGTTTCCCAACTCGCTGTCAAAGAAGTGGCTCACACGAAGGAGAGCATCCCGCTGCAGCCTATCATCCGGCAGCCTTCCCGACCGCTGCAGCCAATCATTAAGGAGAACGGACGCTCGGACAACGGGGGCAAGAGTTCTCAAGGGCGGACGGTGCTGTTCGTGGAGCCGCCCAAGCCTCAAAGCGGGATTCTGGTGAATAAAAACGAAGTGCCGAGAACCACGTACGACGCCATGTACCAGGGCAGGAGAGGACCAATGAAAGGCCCGAATGGCGACGTTGTGTCTCATAATCTCTACGTTCCCCGGGGCTCATACTCTGACTCGATGCACGGCTTGCACGTGCCCCGGGGGGTGGACGTAATGGGCGGGTATCCGGACAGAGAACCTCCAATTTTAAGGGATCGGGAGCCGCCTATAGTGAGGGATCGAGAGCCGCCCACGGTGAGGTACCGGTCATCGCTCGACGACCGGGGAGAATCTGGGGTGTTGTTGAATCCACAGTTCTCTGCAGGGGCTTCCGGCGCCCTAGGCAGGGAGCCGTACGGCTCGACTGGCACTTTAGGCAGAGAGCCTTACGGCTCTCCTCGCAGCGTTATTAGAAGCGGCGGACCTGCTCTGGTCTCCTCTCCTCCCTACACCTCGCGCGAGCTTACCAGAGACCTAGGTCGAGACTTGCCACGGGATCTCGGTCGAGATTTGCCTCGAGACCTATCTCGGGACCTTCCTAGAGAGAGGGACCTTCCTAGAGACTTGTCCCGGGAACTTCCTAGGGAGAGAGACCTTCCGAGAGAGAGGGACCTTCCTAGAGACTTGTCTCGGGAACTTCCTAGAGAGAGAGACCTTCCGAGAGAAAGGGACCTTCCTAGAGAAAGGGACATTCCTAGAGAGAGGGACCTTCCAAGAGAGAGGGAACTTCCAAGAGAGAGGGACCTTCCTAGAGATTTATCTAGGGACCTCCCTAGAGAAAGGGACCTTCCTAGAGAGAGGGACCTTCCTAGAGAGAGGGACCTTCCTAGAGACCTCTCTCGGGATCTTCCTAGAGAGAGGGACCTTCCTAGAGAGAGGGACTTCGCGAGGGACCTCCCAAGAGATCGAGACCTTGCTAGGGATCGAGACCTGGCCAGGGATCGGGACGTCAGCAGGGAACCCACTGGCCATATCTTCACCTTCCCAACCCGCACCGTCAGCCACGAATACGACCCCCTAATTCCCCGTTCTCCGCCCCCCATCTCTTGCATGAAGAAATCTCCTAGCGTGAGCGCGTCCGTGGGGCGCCACTACGACCCACCGCCCCGAAGAATCGAGGGCAGCGGGTACCGCTCCCTTCCGAGGCCAAGCAAGCCTCGCGGGGCGGAGGCCGAGGCCCTGCTCAAGTACCGATCGCTTGATAGACGTTTCGATCTACCTTTTAGCGGGTCCTTGCCCCGACCCGAACCCGAGGTGGACCAGGAGACCCCACCCCAGCACCGCCGGTACAGCGGTTCGCCACGACTCCGCTTCGGAGATGAGAAGCACTTCCATGTGTACCACGACAAGGAGAAAAAACATGACGGTCTGGATGATATGGATGAGAGTTTTGTATGATGTGTTTTATGAAATATATGTTTTTATTGGTGTATTCCTACTTTTTAAATCCTTTATGTTAAAAACTTTTTTTATTACCACAAGGAATATAAATATTTATCGACTGTTAAGCCAAATAAAGAAAAGCAATA